ACATTACTTTCCAGTCCCCCTGTTATTAACAGAATTTTTCTGAAGTTAATTCAGTTGCTAGCTGAATTTGACCCAATAATAGGGGAACATGTTCATAGAAGCCTCAATAATGAAGAAAAGACATCAACATATTTAGAAAAATCACTGAGAATGAAATTATTGGATTGTTACATGATAACAAAGTCTTCTATTATAAAACAAGTTCAAAAAGCAAAATATTATTTGGTCAGTCTTGATTGTACTTCCAATGTGAGTGCGGTTGAACAAATAACATTTGCAGTATGATACATTTCTGTTGATCAATCAGAAGTGGGATTTGAATGCAACATTAATGAAAATTTCCCAAGTTTTCTTCCTATTGAGAAGATCTACTTCTAGAGAATTATCTCAATTTTTAATTTAGAGTTGGAGAAAAATGCATTAAAATTAGAAAATATGAGAGGAGATGAACTGGAAATACAACCAAGAATAAAAACTTAGTAGGAGCCTTAACTTAGTAAACTTGGTAAATCCCAAAGCTTTTACATAACTTGCAGCAGCCATTCATTAAACTTAGCAGTTAATGATATGGCAAAATCTCCCTTGGAGGTAGCAATTTTTTTTTTTAAATGGTTCAAAAGCTACATACATTTTTTGCATCATCTTTTTTTCGATAGCCCATATTAATTCTTAAACTGAAACCACTGAACGATACTTGTCGGAAAAGTGGTATAAATTCCCCAAAGCCTATATGTCTTGAAATTTAAAATATTCACAATGCTTCATTAAGTATTTATGAAAATGTAGAAATAGATAATATGATTCGAGATGAGGCCAGTGATTTATTGATCGCAATAAAACAATTTAAGTATTTATATTCGATAGTCATTTGGTATACAATTTTGAATCATATTAATCCAATAAGTAAACTATTTCAATCAAAAGATTTTGATTTATACCAATCCACTGACTTATTAAATAGCTCATTAACTTTTTTTAAGGAATTAAGATTGGATGAATCCTTTGACAATGTAAGCTGAAAAATTAGCAAAAAACATTGAATTCACTATACCACATCATCGCGTTCGATCTAAAAATCAAAATTTTTCATACGAAAGTGTAGATGAACCTATACAAGATTCAAAAGAGAAATATAAAATAGAATTTTTTTCTTTACTATAGATAAGACGATTGGCGCACTGGAGCTGAGATTCAACCTATTCATTAGTCATAATCATTCTTTTAAATTTTTATACCTTATGCACAACTTAAAGACATGTGTAAAAATGAATTACTGACACACTATAAAGATCTGGAAAACGTCTTAACAGATTGTGGTTCTGCCAATCTTAACGCTATAGAATTGGACGATGAAATAAACCTTGTTACTTCACTTTTAAAGAAGAAAGAGGGTCCAGCTGACCCACTTAAATCCATTACCTACCTTAACACCAGGATAAATTTCAGGATTGCTTTATGAATTTAACTAAAACTGCCCATAACTAAAGCTACCGGTGAAAGACCTTTGGGTAAAGTACAAAATCGCCCACTTATTTGTTTGGCGCTTTTTTCAAGAGTAAGAAGAATTGGACTTTTGTCAATTTTCTTCGACTTTTTAAGGGAAAATAGGTCGATGTGTACATAGAAAAAGTCAAGGGAGAGTGCAATGCCAATTTTGTGGATTTCTGGGATGTTTTTTTAAGTGAAAATAGGTAGATGTGTACATGGATACCGAGTATGTGCAATTCTTAAAAACGTGTAAAGCAGTGGGTGATTCTGCACTTTCCCCAGACCTTTTTCTAAACAAAAAACAATAAAAAATTACTTAATTTATTTAAAGTTGCCTTAATAGGTTAGCAATGTTGGCCACTGAACATGAACTGAATGATTAAATTAGATCTGAATGAAGTTATTTTCATTTTTACAGATAAAAAGGTTTAAATGAGATTAATTTAATTTAGGTTTTAACTTTGTATATTGTACTAATATTCTTCCTTCTTTGATGTTTAAAATTATGGTTTGTATTAGAGTTAGCTCCAAAGTTTTGCACTTTTAATGAAAAAAAAATTACATACGAGTGTTACTGACTTAACTCAATAGATTTAACAATATTTTTCTGGCTATCACGTGTTTTAATAACTCTGTTTTCTCTTAAAGTTTCTAAAGTTTGGGAGGCGGCACTTTTGAAGTTTGCCTACGGCGGCAAAAATGCTAGGGCCAATAATAACACTTTTCATGCACTTTGACATAAATTCAATTTACTTTTTAGTGTAAGAATGTTCCATTTTGTTCCATTTCCCCATTGCCTATTGTAGAGTTTTTAATGAAATGTCATGTTCCCTCCATGTATGTTCAATACGATTTAAGAAGGGTGGAAAATCTGGAAGAGTTTTGATAATTACAGGACAGCTGTATAATAACCAAAAACCAACATCTAGGGCTCTACATTTAAGATCCTTATCCTAATAGAACTTGAATGTATTCAGTTTTAACAAAAGTTTCCAGCCACCGCAAATAACGTCTGGGCAAACACTTCACATTGGCAAGTTTAATCATATGTGGTCAAACAATGTTTTTGCATTTGAAACAAAGAGACTTGCTTTAGAATAATGTATTGGGAAATCTGTAAAAAAATATCGTTACCATTAAGCACAAGGTGTCTGAACAACTATCACACTACCATATTAGAAACATCATTTACTACCAGTTTTTATGTGAAAAGTCAGCTACAGAATGTCACCAAATCATGTCTACAGCTTTAGGTTGGAGAGCTTGTTAAGGAGTTGGATGTTAGTGCCATGTCCATTAGCCGCATTACGCATCGCGTAAACTTGACATACAATTGCAATCGCTGGGTGCTGCATGAGCTGACTCAAGCAGATAAGGACAGATGTGTTTGGGCTTGCACTAATATGTTTGAATAACTATGCAAGGACAAAATTCTTGACCGGATCGTCACTTGCGATAAAGAGTGGATTTACTTCAACAACGCAAGCAGAAAAGGGGGTCTGTGGCTGGTGAGCCTGTCAGCTGCGTCGAAAAATACAATTTGACTAAAGAAAAGATCATGCTTTTGTATCTGGTAGGATTGCCATTGTATTATCCACTAAGAGTATCTCAAAAAGGTAAAACCCTTGACAGTAAGATGTACAGCGAGATGCTAGTTCGTGTTGATGTTCTTATGAAGGAGAAACGTCGAACTAAATTCCAGCGCAAAAGGTAATGTTCCATCAAGATAACGTAAAGCCACATGTGTCTGCATTCACTGGCTGGACTCTGTACGGATTCGAATGGGATCTTTTGCCTCACTCACCATATAGTCACCTACCCGCACTAAAGGTACTGCTTTCATGTGTTTTTCCCTAACCTTTAAGAATTTTAAGAATGTTTTTTGGCAGAAAACTTTCGTTACAACCAGATATTTTACATTCCAGATTTTCTCATGAATGCTTTCAGGTGTCATTTAAGAGTTTTGAGATAATTAAGATTATTTATTATATTCTACAAAAACTAACTGTTATAGATTGGAACAATTACACGTGGGAATTATGTGTCTTGGATATGGCAAATAAAGCAAATAAGAAGGTAGGTGGACCAGATTGCATTGTGGAAATCGATGAATGTTTGTTTACTAAGCATGAAAATAATTGTGGTTGAGTATTGCCCAAACAGTGGGTGTTTGGTAGTATAGACAAAAGATTCATTTGTTGTCACTGTTCCTAATAGAACTGGCTCTACCCTTCTTAATAAAATTATTGAAAACATTGCAGATGGTGGCACAATTTATTCTGACAGTTGGAAAGGTTACCAAACAAATAGAATAGAAAAAGGATTCCTGCATGTTAAAGTTAATCATAAATGCAATTTTATTGATCCCGATACAGGAGTTCATACACAAACACTTGAGAGAATGTGGAGCTGTGCTAAATGGAGGAACAAAAGACATAGGAAAACAGTGAGACATCATTTAGAACCTTATTTAGCAGAGTTTATATGGTGATAGCATCAGGTCAAAGAAAATAGAGTTGTTTTGAATCTATAACTTTATACCCGCCCATTTTCCACTGAAATCCAATTGACTACTTTGATTTTAAATAAAGCATTTTGATTTATGAAAGTGTTTTAATTTTGATTTTAAATAACGTGTTTTAATTTATGATTTGTAGCAAAAATTTGAGGTGTAGATTGGTGGCACTTAAAAACCACTAAATCTGCAGCTGTTGTGGCGTTAATATGTAAGTACCAAACTTGTCATTAATCTGTAGCAACCTGCCATGTTCCCTTCAGATATGGAGTTTATTTTTCTAAATATGGAGATATGGAGATTTCTAGATATGGAGGATATTTTTCTAAACAAGCAATAATTTCAAAATGCTAGATGATAATTCTTGTGATGTATTTTCATTTAAACTCATAATTATAAAAGGAAAATCGTGTGCCGAAACATCTCAACAAAACTTTCAAGTGTTCAACACTTTCTGAATAAATTATTTTATCACAAGAATTATTTTTGATATTTATTTTGTAACAAGCAAGGCTTAAAATAGAGAAAAAAATACTATATTCGGAAAAAAAATTGGAATGAGCGTTTCAATATTTAAAGCAATATCTGTGCAAATATATTTCGAAAATATAAGTGTCCGAAAATAAACGTGAGCCATTGTAAATATACATTTATCAATACAGTCGTAAACTCTTTACATGCATGCATTTATAATAATTATATTAGTTAGATTCTGAATATTGCAGTTCACAACATTCTAAAACGTTTTTTAGCTCTGATATTAAAAGTTATTCTCATTGGTTTACTTCATCAACTATGCATTACATATAATAAATCCCATAAACAGAAAATATACATTTTCTTCCGACCAAAAAAAAAAAAAAAAAAATATATATATATATATATATATATATATTTAATAGAATAATAGCTGCAGTAAAAAAATAACTTAAAAAGAAGAGAGAATGACAAATTCAATGAGATCTTCTAGTAAAAAAAAAGCAAATCCGAAACTTACAATTTTTTAATAAGTTAGCAGACGTCGTTTTTAATAGCCAACAGCCGACATCCATATTATTGTCGACTTCATGCCGTTAAGGAAACATAATCGGAACCGCAGGTTTCAATTTCTGTTAACTCTTTCCGGGTTACTCTGATATCAGAAATTCATATTTTTCTCTCCTATTTTCATGTATATTTAAAATAAACAGCAATAATAAACTTTCGTTTCAAAAATTATATTGTAAGTTAGAAGTAAGTCTAAAGTTCAAAGTTCAAATGCTAGCAACAATACATCTCAACTCATCCTGAAAGTCTGAATTGCACTGTTTGTATGTTTATTTACGTGCAGTATTTTTATTTGATGGGAAATAATCCGTTTCGCCACCCACAATTTAGGATATTATCCGGCAGTCATGAATAAATTGTGTTATAAACTTTCTGGCTGTTTGCCGATACTAGATTCCATCGTAATGATATGTAAAATACACACTGTATGACCAAGTGAGCCTTTTGCATTTTTTTAAAGGAAGATGTACCGTTCTTATCTTTAAATGTTGAAAATAATATAAAGGAAACTTTATTTGTAGTTTATATTTGTGTATCAAGTATAATAAATTTTTGTTTATGACTCTTCTTTTAACAGCAAGAATCCGTACGAAAGATGTTTTCCCTTCGGATTGTGACAGTTGATTCGTACCAGGCCTTTCCAGTTAGGGGCTATGATATATGTTACTCTGATTTCCGGGGCTCTGAGATTTATAAAGTTCCGGTTATTCGAGTTTTTGGCATTACGCCTGCTGGTATATATATATATATATATATTTTTTTTTTAATTGATACAATTTCTATGATTGTGTGTACGTATTCTAAAAATAGTAATAAAATTTTACATAAACTTCTATATCTTTTTTGCTTTAAAAATTACCTATTTTAATCTGTCATCTTATATTTACTCAAGTGTATTTGTTTTATAGGTCAGAAGGGATGCATTCACGTTCATGGTGTGTTTCCGTATATCAGTGTCAAATATAAAGATGTGTTCCCTGATGCAGATGCTAAAAATTCCCGAAGATATATGCAAGAACTTACTCTAGATATTGATAAAGCTCTCAATGTGGCAGCCAGAAATGCCAATTCACACCGACATCATGTTTACAAAATTATTTTAACTAAGCGAATGTAAGTATGTTTTCAAACATATGATTAAGTAAATGCTGATGAAATCTTTATTAATTTAATAAAAACACATTTCATATTTTAATGTTCGGTGAAATGATTTGAAAACACGTAGCAAAATTTTCTGCTTTAAAGTGGGAAAATATAGGAAAAAATTTTAAACTGTTTATTAGTATAAATTGTTACATCTCCTGTAAAAATTGCCGTATGTTTTGAATTCATAATGAAAAGTTTTGCATTTGATGAAATAATAAAAGATGGGGTTGATCTTTGGATTATGGTAACTTGGCGATTTGTTAGCGAAAATTTGGCGACCAACTCTGCTATAGCAACCTTCTACTTTTTTTTTCGGCGCCATTTTCTCTTCACGAAGTAAAGACTTGTTTCTTTTCTTTTTAGTTACTGAACACTTTTTGCAACAATCTGCTAGCCGAATTATACTTATGTTAGAAATTTTATGGAACAAAACTGCTTAATCATGACAAATATTAACTGCAAAATTGGGAAAAAGTGCAGAGTCGCAGACTCCTTGCCGTGTTTTTGAGAATTGCACATACACAGTAACCATGTACACGTCGACTTATTTTTACTTAAAAAAACATCCCAGAATTGCACAAAAATGGCATTGCGCACACTCTTCACTTTATCCATGTACACTGCTTTTTTCTCATAAATTAGAAAAATTTGCAGGAAAATTTTGTGAATCTTTAAACTCGGTAAAAAGCACATATATGAAATTAACCTAATTGCGAAAAAGTAGATACCCTTTCCAAGGATGAACATTTCCACGTATAAAATAAATAAAATATCCAAAAACTTTTCCCTCTAAATTATCTATTATAAAACGTCACCAATGAATTTATAACGCAAACATTATACATGGTTGCAAATACTTAGTGTCAAATATTTAAATTATTTCCATGCACGTTTACTTCTACTGAAACGTATTCCAAATTGCTATAAACATATAATTCACAAAATAACTATCATTTAATTCAAATATAATTAAACCATGTACACGTCGACTTATTTTTACTTAAAAAAAAATCCCAGAATTGCACAAAAATGGCATTGCGCACACTCTTCACTATATCCATGTACACTGCTTTTTTCTCATAAATTACGAAAATTTCACGAAAATGCAGGAAAATTTTGTGAATCTTTAAATTCGGTAAAAAGGACATATATAAAATTACCTAATTGCAAAAAAGTATATGCCCTTTCCAAAGATGAACATTTGTACGTATAAAATAAATAAATTATCCAAAAACCTTTCCCTCTAAATTATCTATTATAAACGTCACCTGCAAATTTATAACACAAACATTAAAAATGATTCCAAATACTTAGTCTCAAATATTTAAATTCTTTCCATGCACATTTACTTCTACTCAAACGTATTCCAAAATACTACTAACATATAACTCACAAAATCACGATCATTAAATTAAAATATAATTAAATTGAAAACACTACTTAAAATATAAATAAGCACATACATTAAATTAATAAAAATTCACTTACAATCCTAATTACTTTAATTCATTACTAATAACAATTTCCCAATAATACCATATTAATTTATTTATTCCTTACATGCATAAAAATAATATCCTCAAATGATTAAAAATACTAACTTACCTAATCTTCTTCACAATCTTGATTGCATGGCGGATAAACTTTTCTTATAGATTAAATAATCCAGTAGTCAACTGGCAGTCTATTCACCCACTAAATAAGAAATTAATAAAATTTCCCCATACTCAAATGAGCACACGTACCCTTCCTTATACTCCGTTTTACAAAATGTCCATTTTCACCAGATTTCTTGCACCGCCATTCAAACTTATCTGTAATATCTTTCCTTTCACACAATCTCATTTCATACCCACATGTTGGACATTCATACTTATCCGCAATTAATCCTACACTCATACACCGTTCAAGCAATTCTTTTCGATTACACATAAACCCAATAAAAATTTCAGATTTACTTTACATAGGGCCATGGGATCCAAATATTAAGCAACACTTTCACAGAACAAAGAATGAACCTAATGCTATAAAGTAAGGCAGATATTTTTACAAATTTACCTCCTTTTCCGATTAAAGAACTGTGATTTGTCCATAAATGTCGCATGACATATCTCATGATCTCTCATTTCCCTCACACAAAATAATGCATAATCGGAACTGACTACTTCTCACATTATTCCCAAAGTCCTAGGTAGTAACCTTTATCGCCTACCAAAATGTCGCCAAACTACCTGTTACCATATTCCAAAGATTAGCCAAAGATGGCTTTTTTTTTTTTTTTTTTTGCGTGAAGCGAAAAAAATCTGATAAAATTGTCTATTACAGATATTGTTTAATTAATAAAAATTTTGCATGATTTTGCTTTAATAATTTTTTTTATCTATTGTAATGCACCTTCTATTCTTCCAAAAATCTAAAATATATATTTTTAAAGATTTAACTATATAACACTCTCAATAGGTTCTCTCAGTAGGGCATAATTGGTTTCTAAGCATACATAAATTATAGATAGTGCTGAATATTATAGTTAAAAAAAAAACATGGTATTCAATTATTTTTTTTATTTATTAGTATGTCTATTCAATATCAGTAGAATGATATTCAGCCATTTTGGCACAAATTAATTAATTCTTATTACTGATGAACTTCCCAGTCGATCCTAGATGAAATAAAACTTTTATTATTTAACTTAAGATCAGTATGATGTGTAATGTGCTGTAGATTTAAGTTTGGCCCAGAAAAATTGCACATCATAAATAAATTCATGTTCTCATAATTTGTGCTTATAGAGAGCATGAGGAATTGTATATATTTTTCAGCTTATTGTTATAATTATTGTTTTTCAGCTTAATAAACTAAAATATACTTTTACTTAAATGTACAATAAAATACTATTCCCAGAGAGAAATATATTTGTATTTCTAACTAGCTATCAGTCTGACTTAGATTATATGAATTACTTTTAGAAACTTCTTAAAAATTCGATATTACCGTCTATTCCTTTGAACCATTAATTAATAATACTTCCATTTTGTCAGTTAGACATGCAGATTTGATTCATCTTTTTTATTTTCCAGTGAATATAAAGCTTTAGCATAAACTGTCATAATAGTATTAAACAGGTACTTAGTTTACATGGTATTTTAACAAAAGCAGGAAATGTCAATTAAGATTCAATCATGACCATTAACCCGCGAAAACACGCATCAGGCCCGCGAGGCCCGGTCGTTACAAAAACATAATACAAAAATTTCTCCCTTTGGTGAAATTTTTCAACCTTCTCAATAGCTGTGTTTAAGGCCATGTACTTGTCATTCACAAGCATTTCCGGAATTTAACCCTTCATCTTTTCTCAGAAACTGAGTAACCGGGCTTCCCAGGCCCGAGGCACGCGCTCGCATTGTCATTTAAAATTGGAAAGAGATCAGGCAGTTGCAAAAAGGTCTTGCTATTTGAGTTATGACGATGAAATGAAAAGACTGCAGAAACTATTAGCCGAAGTGTCGATTGATGAAGATACAATTAATGAAGAGGACGAAGAAATAGTTGGTGAAAAACAGTTTAGTGATCACCAGTCGAATTCTGAAGAGGCATTAGACTCAAGTGATGAATTAAGTAATTTTGTGTCCATCAGCGAATTGGTTTCTTTGAAAATATAATATGACAAAATGGAATAAAAATGAACCAAGACTTGCTGTAAGAACTCTTGCTCACAACATTGTGAGAAAATTGCTCGGAAATGTTTGTGAAGCAAAATTTGTGTCCTTCCCTATGAATTCTTATGGATAAAATAATAGTAAAAATTCTAGTAGATTGTGCAAACATTTACACTGGTGTGCAAAAATTAAGGACGAAGTCGAAAAATTAGCATATCAGCTGAACGAAGACGCAGAGCGGACAGAAAGACCATTCGGGAGATTAAGTAAGGTGATGTATGGTAGCACATGCGCAGATATGCAAGTAGACGTAATGGGGGAGTGTCTGAGTAGTATAAAGCATGTTGTCGGTGTAAGATCAGTATTTCTGGCAAAGAGATTGCACGCCGTATAGCAGTTAAAATCACACCAGTAACGATTCCGGAGCTTCAATTGGCGCTGCAAGACGAATGGGCAGCAATGCCTCAATAACTCATTGACACCCTCATTCTCAGCATGGGCAGACACTGTGAAACCTGCCTAGCAGTCAGGGGAGATCATATCCCCTATTAAAGACCGGATGTTTCTTGCTGGACACCCATCACAGGGATGTTTCGGCCTTCAGTCACATTGCGCTCCATGCTACTTTTTCAATAAAGCTTCTTTTTATCCTCTGATTTCTATTTTAGTAAGTGTTGCTTACATTACTAATGTCCTTACGTATTGGGGATCTTACGGTATTAAATGTGTTGATTTGGAAAGCTTTTGTACAAAGGTATATTGAAAAAAACCGTCTCTTCCTTAGTTTTTGCACACCAGTGTATATTGAACCCATTGTCGTCAAATTTGCAAGATATTGAGATGTTCGATTCACAAATATTACAGAAATGAGAGTATTTATCAGTCTTCTTCATTTAAGAAGACTCCACAAGGCTTCTCACGTAAATGTTCTTCACCTTTGGTTAACTAAAGGAGCAGTGCTTGACATTTTTTATCGACCAATGTCTAAGAAACGTTTTTTATATCTAATGAGATGTTTGAGATTTGATTACATAAGAAGGGAAATAAATAAACTGGCTCTGATAAGATATCTCTTTGAAAAGTTCGTTGAAAATTGCGAAAAAGTTTACATTCTTGGCGTAACAGACCGAAAATCACAAATTTGCTGTGCTATGTGCGAGAAAAATGTTTGTGGTAGATACAGCAAGATTATTTGCAAAATAATGTGAAATGTAAGTTTTATTTTGCAATTATTGCTATAAAAATTTAATATTGCATAAATTAGTACTAAATTTCATTTGTGCTCAAAAAGAAATCAGTTTAATTTTTATTATAATGGTAAATAATTTCAGTCTTAAAATTGTTTTAAAATACAATTTTATTAGACTTATTAAATTAAAAGTATATTTTTATATCTTATACACTCTTTTTTATTATTTAAATGATTTTCTTCAATTACACAAGCAATTTTATTTTTCTTTTGTTCAGAAAAACGCTTTGAGCCTACGGAGCCCGACGCGCGTGCGCGTAGCTAAAAATAACGTCCGTTTTTGCGGGTTAACTATTTATACTTTTTTCTTTCTTTCAATGACCATTTTGCATCTTTTCCTTGACGTAACTTTTCAAATTTTTGATAGAAAGAAAAATTGGTACTTACATATTATTCTATCAGCTGTGAAACTTTTGCCAAGCAGCATGATTTAGCAACAATTATGGATAAGTGTGATGTCAAAACGCATAACTTTTTTAACTTGATGTTATCTGAGTTGATGCTCCATAAGCAAATGAAGAATTAATTCTTCCTTTTTATGTCGTTAAGATCACAATTTAATAGTGATTCATATTTTCTGTTTAAAAGTTTTGATAGAGTAAGGAAGGCATATCAATAAAGTGATGTTATTGAAGTGTATTTGTAATTTGAATACTTTGTCCTCTTTAAAAACAATCACTTTCACATCACAGTTCAGCATCTCACGATGGGCCCACCAGTGCCTGACTAGTAAAGTTGCTTAACATTGGTAGTTCATTCTGGCCTTGATTCCAGACAAATGGGCTGTCTGCATGAGTATTTTCATGTGTAATGTGGATATAAGCCAGTTTTCCCTAGAAAATCCTTCATGAACCTGTTCTTAGGCAGATAGCCCTCGAAAATAAAATAGAATGAATAGATTTTGCCATAATCAAGTAAACCAAACAAGATCTTGTGATTCTTCATCTGACTTATTTCTGAGGGAATAAGATGACTGAATATTGGTAGTTCAACCTGGAATCAAATCCATACAATAACCTGACTGCTTTATTTGTAACATAGGATATGTAAAGTTATATTCACATATGCATGGCATGTAAACGAGCCAGTACTCCATTTGTAACATGAATAAGAGACAGTTCCTATTTTTTAAGCAACTGACAGAGAATTTTAGTCCTCCATGAAGACATCTTACTCTTTAGACATATAACCATACTGAATTTTGCTCGTCTTAAATCGTCGAAGTCAATAAATCTCTGTTAAGACTTTTTCGGAACTGAAGATTCTTATGATTAACCCCCCCCCCTAATAATATGTTTCACATAAAAAATGTACTGCCTGTTCAGAGAAGGGGGAGACTGCCCTCTCTGCTCCCATATAGAGGCGTGTTATCATGTTCTTAATTTTTATGAAAATTAGTTGGTGAGAACAATACATATTCTTTATGAATGAGGTAATCATTAATCACTATATGATAGTCAGTCTATTATAAAAAATTTTTAGGTATTCTGAAACTCTGTGAATTCTAGCTTTGAGTGATTCTATTTTGTTGTTCTTATTCATGTGAGCAAAACTGTCATGTTATCTGAAGTTTCTACTTCAATTTAAAATGAACTGCCAGCTCTGAAGAAAAAAATAAGAAACATGCATGTAATTGACCTTGCTTTTCAATTATCTTTTTATAGAATATTTTATTTGTTTATAAGTATTTTCAATTGAAGAAGTGATATTCTTTTGCTTTTCTCTTTGTTTAAATGAATATAATGTTCTTTCTCTTTAAAAAAATATGTGCCAGTTAGGTGATATAAAAGTTAAATTTATGTACATAATTCTGGAAATTGTCTATCAAAATCTGGTACTAACTGGTAATAACCTAATGTCTCTACAGTAGTGCCCAAACTAAAAGGTTGTGAATTACGATTCTTCACCGCCAGGATTTGGCGGTTTTCACCCTTTAAAAAGGGGTTATATAAGGTATTTCTCCCAACTTTTTAGCATGCCTTTGTGGTGTAGTGGTCAACACGCTCGATGGAAATTTGAGAGGTCCGTGGTTCAAGTCCTGGTGAGGGCATTGCTCATTTTTCATCTTTCCTGCTTCGAAATAACCTAGCGTCTCTACAACCAATATTGGGAGATCAATTGCCAGAACTGGCAGATATAATCAGAGGATTTTTAGCAAGCAACATGTTTCATTTTCTGACTTTTGATTACTGATTTGTCCATAAGATATCATCAGTTCAATGCTTTTCTTCCTCTAAAATGTTTACCATTTTAAATTTATAATCATCTGGAAAAGAAACAGAAATTTTTTGTGTTATTTATAGCATCCAATATATTTGAATTTCATGCTCACTTTAGACTGTGTGACACCGTTCCTTCATTACTAATTTTCTCCTCTAAAATTTTGCCCAATTTTAACTTTTCATTGGATGGAATATAAACAGTAGTTTCTTCATAATATCATTAATTCTTTCATATTATCGTCTAAAATGTTAATTATATTTAACTTAACCCTAATTTGAAAAAGATTTTCTCTAAGAGCATGTAATTTTTCATACTGAGTAAAAATGGCTGCTGTTTTATTGGGTAGAGCAAGTGAAAAATTGTAGAGCAAAAAAGTCTTTGCATTGAATTTGTTTCATGGCTGCAGGTTACTGGTTTGCACTTCATATGCTATGTAGGGTTCTATGTGTAGGAGCTTGTCTCAGTATCCTGTACACCATACTAGACTGCAGAGTAAGTTACCACCTTAGTCTTATTAAGTCATAGAAAAGGTTAAAATAACCATCTTATTAACTGAACAGAAGGCACTGCTTTTGCTAAAGACAAAAATCCACTACTTTTAGGTATTTAACATAAGATGAAATGAAATAATTTTGATGTAGGTAACATAGGCTGAGACCACATACAAAGTAGACTACTTAAGCTGGCTCAAGACAATTGATTGCATGTATTTAAATGTCAGCTGGCCAGATACCGAGAATAACTTTGGCTGAGCTGGTGATAGTACATAACTGAAAGGTAAGGCTGCCAGAAACTCTAACCCTAAAACATTCGAGCCCTAAGTTTATATAGACTGCAACTAATTTGCATTCTGGTGAGGACTGTGGAAAGAAGAAGTTCAACTGATAATAACTGGTTAATTAACATAAAATTCTACAACAATTGGGCTGAGGAACTAACTCATCAGGCTGCATAATAGATAGTTAAATATGGGTGAAAATTAGGTAGTACCACTGTTTGATTCTCTAACAGCAGCATCTTTTAAATTATAGCTTCTACAAAGATAAATGAATGTTACTTACCTCCCTACTCTGTGGGTTTCCATTTTTTAAATGTTGCCGTAGTGTTCCTCTAGTTTTCGCCAAATTAATTTTAAATGTCGCCAAGTTTTTGTGAAGCACATTCATTAATCTCTTTAACAATGAAGTTCTTAAAATTCTTCCACAATACATATTGATTATTAAAATTATATATATATATATATATATATTTTCCTGCTTACAGACCATTTTATGGCTATCATGAAACTGAAGAAGATTTTCTGAAAATATATTTTTATAATCCAGTTGATGTCAATTGGTAAGATGCACATTCTTTAAAATGAAATGGTAGTTTTAAAAATTATTTGTTTTCAGTGAAATCATTGACTTGTATTTTAATAATCTCCATATATTATTTGCTTAGGACATCTGAACTGCTGACCAATGGTGTGATATTGAACAAATTTATTCAGCCTTATGAAGCTCACATTCCTTACATTTTACAGGTATTGTTGCTAATTTAAAATTAGAGAATAAAATTTTATGTTTAATAATGCAACATATTCTGTATGTATAGAAGTATAAAATTATTTGAGAGTGTTAATGAAGAAAATCTTTACCTCATGGTGATAATGTATTTGCTTAAACCTAAAGTGAAAATTTGCTCATAGAGCAGTTTTTTTTTTTTAATCTCTGCTTGCTTTCCTTTGTATTTTTTTTTTAATTTAAAAATAGATTGTATTACAGCTTGTACATTTGTTCAGCAGTGTTTTGTTTCTAATAGACTAACATGCTTTAATTAAATTTTTATCATATTTCTCCTTTCAGTTTTTTATTGATTATAATCTTTTCGGTATGAATCTTTTAAATATTTCGAAGTTGAAATTTCGAGCTTCAGACAAAGATTTGAGAACAGCTTTTTCACCTCTACGAATTAAAAATGCATCTCAGTTATCAGAACAAAGTATTTCCATCTCTGATAAAGTGTGGAATGTTTACACAATGAGCAGGTATGTCACACATTTAATTATGCATTGGTTTTTATCTTTATAAGAAATGACAATAATTAAGATAGTTAAGTTGTTTAATTTTTGTTGTTGTTGTATGGTTTTCATGCATTGCTTTAAGTTTATAGTGTATTGGTATTTCTTTAGAAATGTATTTTATTGCCATAATATTTGCAGAAAAATATACTTAAATTCATTTTTTTGTTTTATAATTTGTTTTTTTATTTGTATCAATTATTTGTAACCAACATTTTCATTTACACTGGAGTGTCTCTGAATTTATAGGCCAAACTTTAAGGAGTATGTAAAATACAAGTAAAGAATCATTTTTTATATAGCAAAGCGGAATCAGAAATAAAAAGTATAGATGAAAAAACTGGAAATGCTGAGGGAAGGAAAAAAGTCTTTTATGTACATAATATTGTAATAGGACTGTTACATCCGACCATTAACAGTGATAAAGGTCTGAAAGTGTTAAATCAACATTTTCAGTGATCAGGGTAGATTCTGAAATAGTGGAGGGTAGCGTTACAAACGGTTACACTGTATGTATTTTTGTAAAAGATTTTTAGAACAGACTATGTTACACATTTAGTGATGTAGCTTAACCCTCTGACAATTTGTGGACCGAAATCGCTTCAAAAATTGTGTAATTTTTTTTTTCATATTTTAAATCTATATATATTGGAAAATTGAAATATGCATTTTTCCTTTCTAGAAAATATTTTTATATAGATTTTTATCATGAGAAACTAAGTTGCCAGAGAAACGAATTTCAGATGTTATCACCCCCAAAAAAATTTTTTTAAATAAATTTCAGTCGAATTACAGTTAATTTCTATTTATTGCATAATATAAAAAATTAAAATATATAAAATTTAAGAATATATAAAGCACTGAGGAAAACATATCTTAGAAATGCAGTTTAGTAAGAGTTCAAAACAATGTTCAAGGCAAAGTCCAACTTCACAGTCTTTTCACCAGATTCAATAAATCTAATTAATAATCAATCTAATTATAATATAATTAATAATTCAATAATTTAATTAAATAATCAGGATAATTGCTGAATGTTTTCTAGCAGCCATTTCTGTAAGAAAAAAGGAGCAAAAAGTGAAGTTTGAGCGGTAATACCACATGTCTTCAAACGCCACAGTTTAGTGGACAGTTAATGATATCTGTTGGCCAAAGCGTAAACTAAACATCTAATACTGTATATAATTTATTTCAGTGGTTAAACGGAGAAAAAATGGGATGTGCTTCTCAATAAAGGAAGAAAAACGCCCGCGGAAATCGCGGGATGTGCAGATTTTGCTACATTTGAGTTGCCCGTGGAAATCGCAGGATGAGCAGCCAGAGGGTTAAAAAAAGTTTAATTTGGGGGAAGAAAAATAGTTGAATATGGAGATTTATTTAATTTTGTATGATCTAATTGTCTACAAAACAATTTTATTGAGATTGAATGGCATTACGTGAGCTTCAAACTATTTCTTTGTTGTTAGACATTTTGTGCATGATGGAGCAATTTACGTTCTCTGAGAAAACAGACGTGCATCCTATGTATTGAGTTGCTAATTGTAACAGAAGAGAGGTGTTAAGATTGTACCATGAACGTTTCCTCAATAGCACAAACTGGAACTTTTCCATGTTTACACTGCCAGCTTTGCAAAAGCATCTCATTTCATGTCAAGATGCCAGAGACATGTACCAGTTCCAAAAACATACGAATGTACTTTTGAAAGAGGTTAATCTAACCAATAGCACAATGGCAATTGCACTGTGTACAGGCATGAGTAGACACACCAAAATATTATATGGAAAACTTTGTATGAGGAAAGACTTTTTCCATATTCATTGACAGAGAATGCAAGCATTGAATGTAGCTGATTATCCTCAGTATGTAGATTTCTGTCATTGGTTTTTGCAGCAGAGTGCATTCACTCTGAACTTCTCTGCAAATATACTTTTTACAGATGAGGCTATCTTTACACGAGATGGAGTTTTTAATTTTCACAATTCCTCTGTGAGCCATGTCTAATCCACATGCTTTCCAGAAGCGATTCTCTGTTAATGCATAAGTGAATATTGTGAATGATTTCCGTATTGGCCCATACTTGCTACCACATCGACTCAACTGCACAATAAATTGAATCTTTCTGGAAGGAATATTATCAGAATTACTTGATAGTGTTCCATTTACTGTTCAAAATATTATGTGGGTTCAGCACAGTGAGCTCCAGTTCATTTCGCAGCAGTGTGCATAATTACCTCAAAGTTACGTTTGGACCTTGATGGATTGGACAAAGTGCGCCAGTTGCTTGGCCAGCATGTTCACCAGGTTTATCAAGTATCAGTTTAATCACTCGTCTAAGAGACTCCAATTGACTTATGGCAATGTTTTATTGCCATTAGACTGCATCATTGGAAAGGCCTAAAGATCATAAATCTTCGTCTAACAATTAAAACCAAATTTATAACATTTAAAACAGGAAATTGCATCTCATAAGGGGCTGAACATTTAATCATCAACATACACATGAGCCGATGCTAGACACCAACAATGAACACACACAGTAAGGTGAGAAATAGATAGTAAGTCTCGGCGAGCTGTTTTAAGTTTTTATCCTCGTGCTATGACGAGCACATATGCATATTGCACAGTAAAAAATTAATGTTGCCACTCACTGCAATGAGGATTTCTGCCATAATACTCTTTTCTCCACATGCCAGAGGCATAAGAGGTCAGAAATCTTTCCTGGCCACCAAATATGTTGATTATGGGGCAGTCCAAGCTGTTGATGAGGATCCTTTTGAGGATGGCAGGGCCCCGATTCTACCCAAATGCACATGTTCAAAACTTTGACTGGATACAACAAAGGGCAGCACTGGATTATGAGTATGCCATATAATTTTGGAATTCTGGTAGTCGATGCAAGCATGAGTTGAACAATCCTTTGATTCAGAAGGCCTGACAAAACAAGAAAGAATCAATCTTTTAATTGGTCATTAATCCTGGATGAGAAAGTCCGTGGAGTGAATCAAATACTGCTCTCCAGAGTTGGCTGGGAACAAAAAGATGTACATCACAATATATATATATTTAGTGCAGGAGACGATTCCATCATTTGTAGTTTTAATGAGCTACTTTCAGCAGGCAACAGGTGATTCAGTTTGGGATCAGTATGTTGAAATTCAGCAATCCTTGTTATATTGTGCTTGTTAATTAGTAATTCATGACAGTGTATTTGCCACTGTCTTTTCTGGTCCAAGAAAATACTGTATGTCAGTAATGAATTGTATAAATATAATTCATATGCTTAATCTGCATTTTCATTTTTCAATGCCACGGTTGTTTCCACCATCCAAGGAAAGGGAGGCTTATTGTTCTTCTTAGAATCTTTTAAAAAAGAATAAAGCGGAGCTTGGGTAGTAACTGCCTTAGTCAAAAAATGTCAATAAAAAATTCAACATTGCCAAAAATCTCTTTAATTCAGACATTATTAGAGGTTTAGGGAAATTAGAAAATATAGAAGTTTTTTTTTTTTTTTTTTTTTTTTCTTCCAAGAAGAAGCTGAATATTTGAAAGGTTAATTAAACAGCTGAGAAATCATGCTGATGACTTTCGCAGAATATGTTTAGGAGAATTCAGTTTTAACCCATATTTTTACAATCTATCCAAAATCATATAGGTGGCTGTCATGTTTATTTTCATTTGCTGAAGTCACAAGCATTTCATCAAAATAAGAAACACAAAAGTCTAAGCCAGAAAGTACTTGATGAATAAATCTTTGGAACATTTGGCCCGCATTTTGCAAAACAGATGGGGTTTTAAGGAACTCAAATAATCCAAATTGGGTAGTTATTTTAGGCATATGCTTTGGATTAACTTGATGGTATGCTGTAGCCAAATCAAGAAAATTGATTTGAAATTGAAAAAATATTTTCCCCCAAAAACATGTCTATTATGTTAAGCATGCAGTATGGGATATTGATCAGGAATAATCATGGCATTCAAGTGACAGTAGTCACCACAAGGATGCCATTTAACATTATCCTTATATACATACCATGTGAAGAGGGCTGGCCGAAGCACTTTTGGACAACCAAATGATTCCTTGTGACCTGAGCTACTCAAACTCTTATTGCGCCACATGGAGTAAATCCGGCGACAAACAACTAGGTTTAGAAAACACAGGGGTAACTTTAGACTCAATGTCATGGAAAATTGTTGATGTTTGATTGTTGTTGGTTACATAAGAAGAAATAGTGAGCTCAAGATACTCAACTAATAATTTATCAGATTTTGAGTTCACCGTGAAGTGCAGCTATGCCTAACTCAAATGAATTTTTAAACAGTTTCCCACGCAATGACAAACTAGTCTTGAAACCGGTAAAGCAGTTATTAGCAACGTCAACAAGTAATTTGAATTTTTTAAGGAGATCTCCACCAAAAATTGGCTGATTTACATGCACAACAACAAATAACCAACTAAACATGTGTAAATTTAAATCTAAAGTAAAACGTTTAGTGCTAAATGTGGGAATCTTAGTTCCATTTGCAGCAAACAAATCCAAATCCTGAGAAGGCCTAAAACACCATACTTTTTTGCTAATACTGACACACCTTCCCTGTATCAATTAAATATCTTTATTTTGACAAGGGGTTGGACAAAAGAATACAAGTCACCCAGCAACCATCACATTGGCCAGCAAGCAATTTGACTTTTTCCATTTTACGTAAGGAACGGGGAGACTGGCATTTTCTTGCACTCTTGCCAAAATTTACATGATAGAGACAAAAGTCGTCTGTTTGCTCTTTATAGCAATTAGTGCATTCATGTGACTCACTGTGCCAGTATGAATGCCGAATATTGTGCTTAGGAGTATAAGAATTACGTCCCAAGGCAGAGGTTAACTCACCAATTTACATTGTCACTTGCTGTACCTGAAGTTCCAAACGAAAAGTAGACTCACTTGGCTCAGGGTCACAATAGCCATATTCA